CTAGCTGTGCAGACTTAAGTAGAATCATACCCTTCTAATTCCATTGAAGTCAAAAGTAGTAACTCTGTTTATGATTACACTATAAAAGTGCTTTTGTTGGATAGGGAAGTTTATCTTTGTTATAATTTGTTTAATCTGTTCATGGTACAATTAATACACACACATGCATGCACGCATGCACACTCTCACCATATGTATTCCAGCCAGGTTAATCTCTGAGGCAGTAAATAAACCTTCACAGAATCAAAGATCGTAGTATTAAATATATTTAATCACAACAATAAAAAACCAACTGTACAATTTAGCACTTGTTTGATTGCCTTGTCTATGGTAACAGTTGACACTAGGTGATGACAATGAGATCCTAAACAGAGTTGCACCCTTCTAAGCCCATTGAAATAAATGGGTTCAGAAGAGTGTTATTACGTTTAGGATTGTACCAGAAGTAGGAAAAGACAAGAGCAGTACAGCAGCTTCCATAGTGTTGTCCTACTTAACACTAGACAGGTCTAAGAGGGCCAGACAACTGCTTTTCTCATTCTCTTTTCTAGCCTTAAAGAACAGTAGTCTGCCCTCGGCACCTTGGACAGAACTAGAACAGATCATGAGATTTGACACAATCTCTCCCCCCACCCCCAAAATGCTGAACAACAATTTGGGATCCCTTACCTGTTGTAGGTATTAACAACCTTGGTAAAACTTGGAACACTGCAGCCATTTCTGGCATGTGCTAGCTAAGCAAAACTAGAGGAATAGCAAATTTCTGCTATTGTCTATAGTCTGTTCCTATGACCAGAAATATATCCTCTGGCAGCAAATTTCACATTTTAATTATTCATTATGTTTGGTGTAGTGGTTAAGTGCGCGGAGTCTAATATGGGAGAACCGGGTTTGATTCTCCACTCCTCCACTTGCACCTGGCTGGATGACCTTGGGCAAGCCGTAGTTCTGGCACAGCTGTTCTTGAAAAAGAGCAGTTTCTGTCAAGAGCTCTCTCAGCCCCATCTACCTCACAGGGTGTCTGTTGTGGGGAGGGGAAGGAGTTTGTAAGCCACTCTGAGACACCTTTGGGTAGTGAAGGGCAGGGTATAAATCCAATCTCCTCCTCCTCCTCCTCCTCCTCCTCCTCCTCCTCCTCCTCCTTCTTCTTCTTCTTCTTCTTCTTCTGAACCACTACTTTTATCTCATATTATACTTCCTGCATTTCACGATCCCTTGACATTGATATTTATCCCCCCCCATATATAGATGTCTGCTTAGTGAGGACCCAATATCTTGCATTTGATGAACACAGCGCTAGTGCAGAGGTCCCCAACCTTTTTGAGCATGTGAGCATCTTTGAAATCCTGACACAGGGTGGTAGGTGCAACCACAAAATGGCTGCCAAAAGAGGTGGATCCAACCACAAAATTTCAGGGAATGAGGTTATACATAATTCTAGCAGTAACTTTTCAACATTTCAGGCAGAAGCACTGCTTAACAGGATGTCTTTTAAAATGAACATATCATTTAAAAATATTTTCTTGCAGTGAAGATCTTTGTGCTGTGTTAGCGGATGCTGCTGAAGCAATGTCTTAAAGTTGCACAGCCAATCAGATCGCCAAAGGCCTGCTGGGCAAAAGTCCCACCTGATTCTGCCCACTTTCTAAAAGCCCTTGGAATCCACAAGTACAACATTGGGAAAGTTTATGTTGGAATACAGTCTCGTTAATCCATAATGTGCCACTAGTCCTTGTTCATTCATTCTCCCTGGATCATCTCCTAAGTAGGAAGATGGTATTGAGTCCTAGATTTGGAAGAAGTCTTAGAAGCCATCTTATGCAACCTGCTTTATAATGTAGAAAATCCAAAGTTAGAGTATTCCCAGCAGATAGCTGTATAGCCTCTGCTTCAGGAATTCTACCAAGTGAGAGCTCATTACCCCTCCCCCCAGATAAATGTTTCCATTGTCAAACCAGTTGTTAGGAAGTTTCTCATATGTTCAACCAAAATCTACTCTTCTATAACTTAACCCCATTAGATATAGTCCTGACCAGGGGTCATTTGGGGGGGGGAATGCGGGGGGACGCCATCCCCCCGGGTGAGGTGCGGGAGGGCGGGGCCTGGAGCTCCCTGCTGGTGCCCGCTGGAGGTCGCCGCCGGCTGTGGGGAGGACACACTTCCGGTGATGTCAGGGGGTGTGGCATATGCTAATGAGTTATGCTAATGAGTCCCCCTAGCTCTTTTTCTACGAAATGACCCCTGGCTGACATTTAAAGAAAGGAAAAATAAATCTTTGCCCTCTTCCATGTGACAACCTTTTATATATTTGAAGACAGAAATCATGTCTCCTCTTCTGCAGGTTACATGTACCTAGTTCCTTCAACTTTTCCTCACCGGATGTTTTCCAGACTCCTAACCATACTCATTGCTATCCTGCGTGAACCCATTCTGCATCTTTCTTAAAAAGTGGCACTCAGTAGTGAAATAGTACTTCAGATGAGTTCTAGTGTATAGTGGAACTTGTGACCTGGATTTTTATCTTTATTTTTTTGTTAACAAGTCACAGCTGACATGGCAACCCTATGGGGTTTTCAAGGCAAGAGAAGTTCAGAGATGGTCTGCCATTTCCTGCCTCTGCATAGCAGTCCTGGTATTCCTTGTTGGTTGTCCATACGAGCGGTAACCAGAGCCAACTTTGCTTACCTTCCAAGATCTGATGAGATCGGGATAGCCTGGCCTATCCAGGTCAGGGCTGTGACCCAGATACCATGCTTCTATTCATGCAACCAAAAGTGAAAAGTACTGGGTTCAATGCATGGAGAGGCGGACTATGACATGCTGAACAAGTCACATTTATTCAGTATAACACAAGAACAAGAACTGGCCAGCAAGGGCCAACTATATACACCCACCCTAGACACACCTACAGTCCTACTGGAGGGTTTGAATCTCCTGCCATGTTCCTATTGGTGGACTAAAAGGTGGACTAGGATCCTTGGCCCCTATTGTGTTAGGAGCCAAGCTAGGGGACTCAGGACATAGACCTCTAGTGGCGGTCCACGGACACAACAAAAACATTAGCTTTTTAAAGCAGATGCATCACACGGCCAACTCATGTTTAGTTTGAGATCCATTTCTACATCTCTCTGGGCTCTAAAGGAAAGGATTTCTGGAGGGATGATGATTTATTCCTGTTGTTGTTTCCTCCTTTTCTCCACATGGCACCCAAGCAGCTTAAAAACATAAAAATGAATATAATAACAATATAGTAAACGAAGCAAAGTAGGTCTTCCTCTTGCTCTCCCTCTGCTGATATACTTCTTCCCCTATCCCAGACTGAACCCTTATTCAGCCCAGGCCTTAAATACCTATGAGAAGCAGAGGAGAAATAGACTGTGTCATTCAGTTACTGCTAGCCAGCAAGATCTTCTCCAATTCCTCTCTTGCTGGACATTGAGATATTAGAGGATGAGTGCATGATAGTTTAACTGTATGTACCCTACTGAAGGGCATAGGGAGCCATTACTTTAAACACCAGCATTTTAAGCACTGTTGAACAACTTTAATTACTGGACAAACAAATAGCTAAAGTGTATTTGATGTGCCTAATAACACTGGACTTCATGGACTTTTCCTCAGCCTCTTCACCCAGTATGGAAATAAGGACACCAACTCCAGTTTAGAAAATTACTGCAGATTCAGGGGTGCTACCTGGGAGGGTGGGTGGAGTCTGGGGAGAGAGGTCTGCAGGCATATAATGGTAGAGTCCATCTTCCAAGCTGGCATTTCCTCCAGGGGAACAGATCTCTATCGTCTGAGATCAGCTATAATACCAGGAGAGTTTCCTGTCTACTTGGAAGTTGGTGATAACCCTAGTAGGGTAATATGGGAATAATCACACCAAGCTACATCAGAAGCTAGCTGTAAACCACTGTAGAGTTGCCAACAGCCTGGAGCAAAGAAATGTTCTTCCCCTTTAACAGAAGCTTAATGTGAGGAATTGGGCAGCTGAAGCTTTTCATGGCACGATGAAGGTAAACAGCACCATAACATTGGATTAAGGGATCCCAGTTATTAAAAGGGACAAGACATTTTTTTCACCAGACTTTTGGCAACAGTATCCCTCAGCCACAAGTCCTTACACTTCCTCCGGTATGAAGATAGTAAATGTGCATTGTTTTCAGTGTGTACAATTTATAAACCTCTGAAGCTTCAATTTTCCATACACTGTAGGACTGGAACTTGAAAGAGCATAAACTTTGCTCCCCCCCTTCCCTTTTGGTGTGGGGAGATAATGGTGCACTGTTATTGGGATTTCTTCCCAATTGCCCCTAGGAGTCCAAGGCAACCACCCCACCCCGGGGCTCAGAGAGGTGGGGGAACGTTTCGCGCTCCTCCCGCCGCCAGGGGCCATAACTTTTTTAAAGAGCCCCTAACAAGACCTGGGGGAGCCAAAATGACCTCTCGCGAGTGATGGCCCCGCAACGGCTCCCCCAGGTCTTGAATTCAGGAGGATCCGTGCTTTGGAATCATGTTTTTGCGCTGTTGTGGTGCCACGAATCTGTGGATGCGTGATTTTTGTGGTGCCCCTTGTAGACTAACACATGACCTACAATATGATGGTGGTTTTATTTCGTTTCAATGTAAAAATCATATGAAATTCATGAGGATCCATTCAGATCCGACTTTTACCCAGACCCTGTTAAAAACAGTACTATAGAACTACAACCGCCAATATTCCTGGTACGTCCCCCCCCCCAGTAAATTATTGGATGAAATGTCAGACTCAGCGACCAATCATAGCTCTGGAAGTTCTTTTGCGGATGTTCCCGCCTCCTCCACAGAAGTGGGAGTCTTTGAAAAGTTTCCAGGTTAGGATGTGGCGTTGTTGTTGTTGCCGGGAGAGTGGGTCCCGTTCTCCCCCAGGCTTCCCTGCTCAGTAATGGCGGGTGCGGGGTCCTCTCGTCCCCTTTTTGTTCTGTCCTCTGAGGCAGCTGAGAGTCGCGGGAGACTGGGGTGTGGGCTACTGCTTTTCGATTGTTGTTTTTGGTAAAGAATGGCGTTGGTCGGAAGCAGGTCGGGCGGGGAGAGGTCTCTGGCCCGTTGTAAGTGGATGCTGTGCTGTTGTGTGCGGCTCGAGTGGAAAAAAACCCCGCCACATTATGGCGTTAGGAAGTTGCCAGCTATTTAAAACACGCTGGGAGCCGGAGCACGGCTGCTTGCTTCTTGTGATCTGTGGCTGCCTCCGCTTCTCAGCGCAGTACCCCATCCAGTCCAATAAGAAGGGAGACTGCCAATCCAATAAGAAGCGTCTCCAGCCCATGGCATTTTTGTTTTGCGCCTACGTCTTTGTGCCAAACAACAAGGAAGGTAGGGTTGCCAGTTCCAGGATTGGGAAATACCTGGAGATTTGAGGGGTGGAGCCTGAGGATGGCAGAATTTGGGAAGGGGTGTACGATGCCATGAAGTCCACCTTCCAAAGCAACCATTTTCTCCAGGTGAACTGGTCTCTGTTGTCTGGAGATTGGTTGTAAGAATGGAAGATCTCCAGTTACCACCTGGAGGATGGCAACCCAAAGGAAAGCCTGTGTGCCAAAATCATGGGCATTTTAAAATGTATTTTTTTTCTCTTCCCCCCCCCCCCCCCCCCTAATTCTTGATGTTGTCGGTTGGCCCTCTCCATTGTGGCAATATGCATCTCTTGCTCCCCCTCTGAAAGAAAGCAGGGGAAAAGCTGGTTGCCTTGTAGCAAAAAAGTGTCTTACATCCACTCTAGGGTGAACTGGTTTCTTTTTTGACTGGATTTTGATGCTCACTGACCTCTTTGTAGCACACCTCCCTTCTGTTTAAGCAGGCCTGATGGATGTACTGAGGAACTTGAGCTCTGATTTATAGAAAGCTTATGCTAAAGTAATTTTTTAGTTTTTTAGGTGCTGCAGGACTCCTGTGTGATTTGCCCATTTGTTGTGTGAGGAATGCATCTGAACTAAAGCACCTGAGTAGAATTAGGGTTTTTCCTGGTTACCTGTTCTGAAAAAAACCCCCAAAACAATAAATTCAATTGCCATGTGCTTCAGTTCTGCCAAGAACATGGCAGAAGTGAGCTGCTGTTTTCACTCTAGAACACGTGTAGGATAGTGGGGTGGAAAAAGAAATGAAGGGTGAATCGTAAGCACATGTAGCTCTGGATAAGGGCAAAATGATATTGAGACATACAGGTTTATTATTTTACATGTTCACTTTTTATTTCATTGTTGTTTTTCAATTCATATCCCATCTGTTGGCATAACTGAACCTTCAGTTTGGCTTCCTTGCACATCATGAAACATTAAGGCCAGTTTAAGATTCAGTGACTTAAAATGAGCTAACATCAGAAGTATTATACAACTGTAAGCATGTGTGTACAGAGGGCTTTTCCCAGATCAGTTGAGCTGTACATTTGGCATTAAAAGAAATGATTTTTAGACAGCCTTGGCATCTCTCTTAGAAAGCAGGGCTTTGGAGGGGGGCATTAAGTGTGTATACAGCCCAATTTATTTTTAGATTAGGGTATATTTCAGAAAATAAAAATTGTCGATCTTTGGATCTTCCAAGTGAATGAGTTTAGGATGGTGATCTTGGGTGAGTTCAATGCTTAACAAACTGAATTAAAATCCTTAGGACTTCTGCATATGTGCGTTGCAAAGAATCACAGTTTTTTCTCCAAGGGACATCAGTGTGTCCTTTCAGAGTTATCCCAGGCTTTTGCTTGTCTGCAAATACGACTGGCTTCATTCACCAGTGTGACACTATGAGGCACAAGGAACCCTTCCTGAGAGCAGTCTGGGACAATACTGATCATAACTTGGTTTCAAAGGGTAGAGATCAACAAGAGTTTTATGGTACAAACATTACTTTGTGTCTGATGAAGGGAACTTTGACTCTCAAAAGCTTATACCTGAAACTCTTGTTGGTTTCTAAGGTGCTACTAGGGTCAGATCTAACTAGTCATAACTTGCTGCCTCAGAATGAAGGTGACTTCATTTAAGTATAGTGTCACCATCATACATACAAGCCAAGGCAAAGTGGTGCCTTCCTGCCTCATGTTCTGGAAGGCAGGCTGAATAAGGGCAGTCTGCCATTTGTACCTGAATTGGGGAGGGTACTGCGGAGAGTCCTGGTCCAGACTAATCACTGCAAGGAAAAGTCTTGAATTATGCAACTTGTCTTAAAGGAGAATGTGTTTTTTCCCCCTGTCTGTTTGTAGATACTTTAGATAATTTAATTTTTGTTGTGTTCTAGGACTGAGGTTCTGTTCTTTGAAAGTAAGAAGATGGCAGGTAAAAAACTGAGAAGAGCAGGGTTACCACAAGACCTTTGTGAGCGGCTGAGTCGGCATCAGATCACCACCTGTCAGGTGAGGCTAATAAGGACGTACTGGCTGTGGTCACATATACTAATCCACTTTCAATCCACTTTCAGTGCACTTTCCATCTGTATTTTACTGTGTGAACTGGCAAAATCCAGTTGGAAAGTGCATTGAAAGTGGATTATTTAGTGTGTGTGACCGCAGCCAAAGATTTGTAATGACATTTTAAGGGGCACATGGTATCATAAAGATCAATGGTGTCTGAAAGACCGTAAGAAGAGCCCTGCTGGATCAGACAAGTTGTCCATCTAGTCCAGCATCCTGTCTCACATGGTGACCAATTTATAGACCTGTGCTCCATGAATCTGTCTAATCCCCTTTTAAAGCCATCTATGCTTGTAACCATCACTATATCCTCTAGCAGGAAATTCTGCATTTTATTCACTCATTGATTAAAGAAATACTTGCTTTTGTCCATCATGAACCTATTGATTATCAACTTAATTGGTTCCGGCTGCTTTACGGATTTTCCATACCACCATTCTCCCTCAGTTACTTTATGGGATTCCTGTATGGTTCCAATGCTTCAACCGAAATGTCGAAAAAATCAAAACGTCTTTTCTACGTCACATTTTAGGCATCCCCACCTGTTCACCTCAATTTCTGGGCCTTCCCCTTCCCCAAAACTGTATGCTTCAGTATTTTTCAAATTTAATAAATCCTTGTCAACGCCGAGCCTTTATGTTGGCCAGGTTCAATATATTCCCCTCATTCATGGTTTCTGGCAGGTACAAGGGTATCCCTTATGAACAGGGATTGTGCAGGTGCGGCAAAGAACCTGATTCTATACGACATATTCTATTTGATTGCCTGTTGCTCACTCCCCACCGATGTCGCCTGATTAAACCACTTCTCCCAGCCCCCAATCTTATGTTAAATAAACGGATAGAACCTTTGTTAGCCGACAAATGCTCCTCAGTCACCGAATGGGTGACAGAGTTCCTGGCCCTACCAGCAAAAGAGATAGAAACCAAAAGTGGTAAAAGTGCTAGATAGGGGAAGATTACGTGCCTACTCTTCTTAGTTAAGATCCAACTGTACTTTGTTTCTACTACACTGCTTGTTTTGGAGAATTTCTGTAGACTGTTTTTCATTTCCCCCTCAAATCTCACCCAGGTGTTTTGTTGTATCTTACCTTGTTATGCCAATAAAGGTTGTTTGTTTGTAACTTAATTGGATGCCCCTGAGTTCTAGCATTTTTGGAAATGGAGAAAAAGTTCTCTCTGTCCACTCTCTCCAACTTGTGCATAATTTTATAAACCTCTATGATGTTCCCCACTTAATCGTCTCTTTCCTAAACTGAAAAGTCTCAAACTCTTCAGCCTTTCCTGATAGGAAAGATGCTCCAGCCCCTAATCATTTTTTTTAATGTTTATTAAGGTCAAGTATAACTTGTAACATGTACAATAACTGCAAAACAGTATACAAAAGTCCTGAGAGTCCAAAATTACAAACCAGCCAGTTAATCACCCACAAGGTTTTCAACATACATCAACAGTTATAACATACTAACATAATAAGTTGCCCTCTTCTGTATTTTTTCCTGCTCTGCAGTTAAGGTTGGTCATCTGGTCCAGTAGAGGGCGCAAAGCTACAGCAGTTAGTCTGGGAAAGTCTGTGGTTACATTTAGTTAACAGAAATGTTATTATACAGTTAGTATTAGAATTGTTCCTAAATAATTGTCTTGTTCTCCCCCCTGTAATGAGGGCACTGTGGTTGGGGATGGTCTGGCAAGTTTTTCTTGTAGAGACATTGGTTTTACCTGTCATTTTTATCTATGAAGTGGTTTTGGGAAGGTGAGCCCTCTGCCGTTGGCCTTTTTCCTTTCTTCCCCTTAGTTTGTATATGAATTTGGGATGGTGAGCCCACTGCTCTGTCACGTTTATTTCTTTTTTGTCTTTTAAATTTTTTAAATTTTCTAACCTACAAAACTACAGGGTCAGGGTAATGGAAGAACCTAAAATAAGAGTAACAAGGATCCATAATACAGACATATAAAGTTATCGATACGTCTCTGTTATCGTAGTAGAACATGAAGATTACTAATGCAAAAATGTAAAGCAAGCAATCACAATTTCTTTAACTAAAGTGTGAATATCATAAAATTGAAGTTATGCATTAAAATAAGCAACAGGCTATCAGAGTTAAACAATTTGCAATTTCCTTTCCTCTTATCAAAGTCCAAAATAATGTTTAAGGTTCTGCTTGAGGATTAGAGAGTTTTGCCAGACTCTTCGAGATGGTATCACAGCCTTCCTCCTCCTCCTCCTCCTCCTCCTCTTTCCCCTTCCCCCTTCTTCTTCTTCCTTCTTCTTCTTTGTTCTCCTCCACTTTCTCAGGTCCATCTTCCGCTTTCTGTTGTTGCTTCAGGAACATCCGCTTTATTTCTTTCTCATTGAAATTGCTTTGTGTTCCTTTTGCAACATATCCAGCTTTACATTAAGGTTGGTCATCTGGTCCAGTAGAGGGCGCAAACCTACAGCAGCCAGTCTGGGAAAGTCTGTGGTTACTTCTGGTCTGATGACCCGTGATGCTGTGCTGGCAGTTCGTATTATAAGTTTCGCTTTCTCGTTTATTTCTTCATCGGCCACAATTTATATGATTGTAGGAGATGTGCAACACCACCTGGTTTGTTTGGAGGTGAAGAAAGGATTTACATTTGGTTTCTCTTGTGTCTTATCTGTTCCTTCCTGACAAAATAATAATGAATTGCCCTTTAAGTTGGTAGTTGAGTTGGTGGGCAATAGCTTGTCTTTTCATTAAAGACCTTGATCATGTTGCCAAATATATCAAGATTATTAAGGATGTCATTTAGGGGGAACTTCCGGCGGACGCTGATTAGAATGCTCGCGTTGTTTCAAACTAAAAGAATTTAAAACGCCACCATAAATAATAATAAAACTCCTAATCTTGAAGGCTGAGATGGGACGACCCAAGAGTCAAAAGAAAATACGCAGACCTCCAGCCGAGGAAGAAACAGAATTATCTAATGAAGACTCCCCCACACTGCTTGACTCAGAAGGAGAGGAGGCTCGGGCCAGTAAAAGGAAACACGAAGGCTCAGTCTCAAAAAAACACATGCAAGAATTTTTTACAGAACTGAAACAAGAAATAAAAGAAGAAATCAAGAGTCTTATCACTCCAATGACTACAAAAATAGACAACTTAACAAAGAGCATGGAAGAAATTAAAGCAGTTGCAGACTCAGCTGCAGCAGAAGTGAAAAATAACAAACATCTTGGAGCTACGTGATTATGAAGCCTGGTCCAAAAGTAAGTTAATGTTACTAGAACTCAGAGTGCGTGAGTGGAAAATTAAAATTCATGGGAATTTCCACCAAACTTTGAACTGAACACCAACCTGACTACAGCTTTAAATTCATGGCTGAGTGGTGAGCTGAAACTTTCGGTTACAGTGGTTACAACAGCATACAGACTAAACACTAGTTAGTAGAGCCGGGTCACCAGCCTTAATCCCGGATGTTATTGCAGAGATTGTGGACGTTCAAACAAAGAAATTAATTTTAGAAACTGCTCGTAGCCAAAAAGGTTTGAAACTAGATGATGTTATCACCCAAATATCCCCAGATCCCCTGTATGAAATCTTGACGGCTCAAAGAAATATGCGTCCAGTGGTACAGAGACTAATAGAGCTAAAAATACCGTATTGGTGGTTACCTCTGGGTCATCTCAGAGTTACCCAAGGGGGAAGGACTTGGACAGCCCATGATGTTCCTTTGGGAGAGGAAATGATTACAGCTATTACGCAGGCTGCCGGTGGCTCATAGGACTAGATCTGATAAGGATGTGAAATAGGCACTGCTGGAATAAAAACTTTTACTTAAATTTAAGTTGGGATTTTGCACAACGCGGGTAAGACTGTGTGGGGAAGATCCCCAGCCCGCCAATGGCGAGTCTCTTTTCGAGACTCCTTTGGGAAAACAAAGATTCCGGAGTGGGCAGCACGTCCCGAAGATAAACACTAGGTGTTCAAAGTGTAAAGAAATAAATTGGCAAGTAATTAATAGAAATTGAAAAAATTAATTTGGGGTTAAGGGGGTAAGGAAAACAAAAGATTATGAATTGTATAATGATATATTTTCAGAAGGTAGAATTAAGTTTGTGGGAACGTTCCCAAGTGGATTATAAAGATAGGACAATAGATATATTAGAAATCAGTACAACTTGGGCATATTGTAGGCTATCCTTGACAGATTAGTTTAAATGTTATTCCTTCCTTTGTTATGAAGTTTTGTATAAACTTGTATTATGGGAATTAAAAGCAAAATAAAATATTAAAAAAGGATGTCATTTAGTTTTTGAAAAATGACTATTAGTGTTTCTCCTGTTAGTAAGCAATGTTCCCCGATTAATTTCATTACGGAGTCTTTTTGTAATTGTAGATACATTTCAAGTTCTTTTGCCCCCAATAATAGAAGTGCTTTATGGGAAGTTGGTACCCGGATAAATGATGTTTCTGTAATTCCTGCCGTGCTAGAATATTTATCGTTATCAATCCCGTTCAAGGGGAGAAGCGCAGAATCTGGCTGCAATAGTGACTCCTCCTCCACTCTCAACATATTGGGTGCGTTGGGGATAAGTAAAAAGAAGATTTATCTGTTGTTTCTCTGGCTAGTTTGGAGAGCCACAGTGCAATGCTTGTAGTTTGCTTACCTTTCTGGTGGAAGTAATTGCTACCAAAAAGGCAGTTTTATATAAAGCAAAAGACAAGTTAGCACTGGTCATGGGTTCAAAGGGTTTATGCATCAATTCTGAAAGGACTAGGGACAAACTCCATCAAGGAACCAGGGGTACAATGGATGGAAACATATTCAATAAACCTTTAAGAAATTTCTTGGACTCCGGAATGGAGAAAACTGACTTTCCATTAACTGGGACATGAAACACAGAGATGGTGGCTAGGTGAACCTCTATAGATGAGGTCACCAGACCCCCTTCTTGCAGATTGATTTGGTCACTGAATAGTC